ACGCCTAACAGATAGATAGCCTGCGCAAGCGGCGCGCGCACAGCAGGCTATCAATCGGCCACAGGCAGCATACAACTCGCAGTCACAGCAATCGATAATTCAAAATTTAATCTAAATCTTAGCCTCCGAGATTCAGCCAATTACGCCGGCAGCTAAAAGCTGATTGGCCCAATGGACCTCGCTCATCGTTTTGTTGCCCTAATTTTGTTGGACCTGTGACTCACACGCAAGGACTTGCTCTGTCTTGCTGTAACGTGCTTGCCTCAGTAAACTACCTCTCTCTGACCAACTGGTCTTCTCTCTGTCTCACTCTTACGGGTTCTTTGGTTCGGCGTTCGACTTAATTAGCAGTACCAGGCGCGGGTCATAACAATTTGGCGACGCAGTCTTTCACTCTACAATGGAGGAACTGTGCGCGGACATGAAGCTGATGTCACAAATACCAGGCGCGGGTCATAACAGTACCCAAAGGAAGTTTGAGTAAAGAGCAATTCAGATTTCAAAATACAATATCAGAGCCCTTCACTTTTCAATTTGCTGGCACTTCAGTCTCCTTAGTTTACGTGAGAAACTCTTTTATGCGTGCCAAGTCTAGTCGAAAATAATAAAAATCACGGAACATGCTTATAATTTTCTATTAATACACTGTCGCTGTGAGGCAAAGCATATTCTCACAATGCGCACTTCGTTAGTATACTTTATTATACGTAAACTCCATTTGTATATTTTTAAAGGCAAATCTACCAGCCTTACCCGACGCCAGCGTGTGGGGCCTGCTGAAGTTGAAGGCCGGGAACAAGAGCAAGCAGGCCAAAAAACTTGAACAGATACAGAAGGAGAGCGCTCCCTTGGAAACTCCAGATGCTATTAAGAGCACCAGGAATAAGCGCAGACTCCAGTATAACCTAAACAGGCAGCAGCTGGATTTATGGAAAGGTCCCGTTCATCAAAATCGACTGGCTGACCAACTCGTCTTTCCTTTGCCAAGCAATGCTGTTCAGTTTTCTACTTCCAAGGAAGCAAGGGAAGAGAAGTACATAAAAGAAATTGAGGCCGCCTCTTTGGACACTTCCGACCTACGTGGCCGTCTGTTCAGTGCCTTGTATAAAAACAATACAACAGCGTGAGTCGATTAGTTTCATATCGTGCGCCAAAATTTCGTGGTACTTGCTTCAACACAAAGTATCTATTGTTTGTACATGCTCATAATTTATATTCCTTAGGAATTAGGTTTATGCATTTTTAGGTTATCAGGTAGACATAACTCCTAATCGCTGTTGTCTTCATTGACAGTTTGTACCTTATCATCGGCCCACCTGCTTGCTGACCACACAATTACTTGTTTCCCGTAGCCCAGTACTGACTCATCTGGTTATAACTTTGAGAGCATCATAAACCGGTGATACCTATTATTTGTAGTAAGTGGTTAATCCTCCAGTAGTAGTCTTTATCTTGGTATTCACTTTTGGAGTACCGAAGACTGCTACTCCCGAGTTCCTTTTTGCAGGGATGGATAGTTTATATTTCACATTTTTTGTGATAAGATCCTAACAGGAACTTGAACGGGAGTCCAACAAGGTTACCGGCAAATTAAAAGGATGAAAAATTCTTACCGCGTTAAGCCTATAAGCAGAACATATGTTTTCGTACCCCTCCATTTGTACTACCCCCATGCTATATTGATCTTTGACTTCACGGAACCGACCAAATTCTCTATTTGGGCCTCTTGCACCGCCTGACGTTCAAGAACCACCTCTTTCTAGTTATGCCCGCCAGAATTCAGTGTTATCGGGAGACCTATTATCATACCAAAAATGCTGTTTCGCCTGCTGGTATTATCCGAATGCGGTACTTTGCCAACTCAAGTTGTCATACATGCCGCCGGAGTCGAGGTTTTAAGTCCTGTCGGATATTCTTCTATCTGTCCTAGATCTCCAAACAGGTGATGCTGATGACTTAACTTGCAAGGACAGATACAGCAAATGATTATGTGACCACGTACCTAAATTCCCACGCTGTCCTTTATAAAATTGTTGATGGGGGATTTTTGAGCTCAACAAAAGTGCATTACTTTTCGATCCCCATTATCCGCACATATCATGAAGCCATACACGTCTCGTAAACTGCCCTGTCTCGGTCACCGGCATTTTATTTTATCTACGCATTTCCCCGTTTTACTAGGGCAAAGCATTTAATATATAATACCCTGCTTCTGAATTTGGATTGATGCCTTCTCCGATGGTATTCTCGTGATGAACGGCCTATTGTATGTTTGGTATGTAAGACAGCTGTCCCAGTTACTCATTAAAAGCTTTTTTCATTTTAGGCCTTCCGAACTGGACAAAGAACAGGCTGCAGACCTTGAGCTAGCTCGAAAAATGTCTATGAAAGCCTCTGATCAGATGAAACGGCGTCTGCGCGAGGTTGCCGCACTACGTAAAGCCAAAATCCAGAGTCGCATCAAGAGCAAAAACTATCATCGCCGCCTGAAGCGACGCAACATGAAGGAATTCGAGAAGGAGATTGTACTTCTGCGACAGAACAACCCAAAGGCCTTCGCTGAGCGTCTTCTTGAGGTCGAAAAGAGTCGTGTCAGAGAGCGCGCTAGTTTACGACACAAACGTGGTGGAAAGTTTGCAAAGTTGCAACGCATTCGGGCGAAGTACGATACGGAGGCGAGGGAGGCGGTCGCTCAAATGCACGATCGGGGCGTCGAGTTAACGCGACGTCGGGTTGGCGGAAATGACGATGAGGATGAGGACAGTGATGCCATGTCACTGGCCGATTTGTCGTCCGAGGAGGAAGACGTGTCTGAAGGCGAGGTATCTGACGCATCTGATATGGAGGAAGATGAACCGTCTGCAGTGCCTTCTCATCTAATTGGCTGGTGGGCGAAGGTAAGCTTTCGACAGCCAGCCCCCCTTTGTTGACAAAAACAAATTACGACGACATTGTTGTTACTTATGAAATTACAGTAGCAACTATTGAAACATAGGTGTGCCGATTGAAAAGTTAGATGAGCCTTTGTGTTGTTTACAAGGTTAATTGATTTTTATGATAGCTCTCGAAATAATACTGATGTGACTGGCGTCCCAGAACAGTTCACCCAATTCATGTTACGATCAGGGATGAAATGCTCAAAAGGATATTGCATAGACGGTCTCTGTAACATGCC